AAGATCAAATCTTGAATCAAAAGCCCAAAACCGGCCAAAAGCCCAACCCGGGCCCGCACCTCGGAACCCGACAAAATTTACAAAATTCATCAACCCATTCAATTACGAGTCCAACCATACTAGTTTCACTCAAATCCGACTCCAATTCGATGTTCAAAACTCAAAAATTCATATTATGAAACTTTAGGCCAAAAGCCCCAATTTCCTCTATAAAATTCACAATCCAATTACCAAAATCGAAGGTAGAGTCGTGATATAAAATAAAAAAGAGTCGTGATATAAAATAAAAAATGAGTAGGGAACACTTACCCCAGTCCACAAGATGAAAATTGCTTCAAGAATCGCCTCAATCCGAACTCCATAGCTCCAAAAATGTAAAAATGGCCGAAACCCTCGAAATAGAGTTCTTTGTACTTCTGCCCAGGCATCCTCTTACGCGAATGCGGTAGAAGCCTCGCATTCGCGAAGTACAAACCCACACTGCCTCACTTTGCACTACGCGTTCGCGGCAAAACCCTCACGAACGCGATGAAACACACTACCAGACTTCCACGATCACGAACGACTCACTGCGAACGCGATGAAGAATCCATATAGACTGACCAACCCCCGCTCAACACTACGCGAATGCATAGCCATGGACGCAGACGCGAAGACTACAATCTTCAATCCAGTGTGAACGCGACCACAGAAGCGCGAACGCGAAGAACAAATAGCTCCACTGACCAAACACCTTTCGCGATCGCGGCCAAGCCTTCGCGATCGCGAAGAACGTCAGAAGCAACAGGTAACAACAGAAAAACCAGCAATCCAAAAACCATTTGAAATGATCCGAACTACGTTCGAAACTCACCCGAGCCCCTCGGGACCCCGTCCAAATGTACCAACAAGTCCCATAACATAATACGGAGCTACGCGAGGCCTCAAATCACACATAACAACATTAAAACGACGAATCGCACCTCAAATCAAAATCTATGAACTTTGAAACTTCAAACTTTCACAACCGATGCCGAAACCTATCAAATCACGTCCGATTGACCTCAAATTTTGCACACAAGTCACATTTGACATTACGGACCTGCTCCAACTTCCGAAATCGGAATCCGACCCCGATATCAAAAAGTCCACTCCCGGTCAAACTTTCCAAAATTTCAACTTTCGCCATTTCGAGCCAAATTCGACCACGGACCTCCAAATCACAATCCGGATGCGCTTCTAAGTCCAAAAATCATCCAACGGAGCTAACAGAACCATCAAAATTCCAATTCGAGGTCAAATGCTAAAAAGTCAAACTTGGTCAACTCTTTCGAATTTAAAGCTCCCTAATTGAGAATCATTTTTTCAAATCAGTCCCGAATAACCTGAAAATCAAAACCGACGATTCACACAAGTCAAAATACCTGATACGGAGCTACTCACGCCCGTAAACTATTGAGCGAAGTGCAAATGCTCAAAACGACCGGTTGGGTCGTTACACGACGTTAATGAGAGACTGGAGGTATGGAGGCAGGTCCTGGAGTCTAAAGGTTTCAAGTTAAGTAGGACCAAGACGGAATATTTGGAGTGCAAGTTCAGAGATGTGGAGGTGAGGCTTGACTCGCAAGTCATCCCTAAGAGAGAGAGTTTCAAGTACGTAGGGTCAATTATCCAGGGAGATGGGGAAATAGATATCACGCACCGTATCGGGATGGGGTGGATGAAATGGAGGTTAGCGTCTGGAGTCCTGTGTGACAAAAATGTGCCACTGAAACTTAAAGGTAAGTTCTATGGAGCGGTGGTTAGACCGGCCATGCTGTATGGGGCTGAGTGTTGGCCAGTCAAGAATTCTCATATCCAGAAGATGAAAGTAGCCGAAATGAGGATGTTGAGATGGATGTGCGAGCACACTAGGCTGGATAAGATTAGCAATGAAGATATTCGGGAGAGGGTGGGCGTGGCTCCCATGGACGACAAGATGCGGGAAGCGAGACTTAGATGGTTCGGGCACGTGCGGAGGAGCCTAGATGCCCCGGTTAGGAGGTGTAAACGGTTGGCTTTGACAGGTACGAGGAGAGGTAGAGGGCGGCCTAAGAAGTATTGGGGCGAGGTGATCAGGCAGGACATAGCGCAACTTCAAATTTCCGAGGACATGGCCCTGGATAGGGAGGTGTGGAGGTCGAGCATTAAGGTTATAGGTTAGGGGGTAGTTGACCGTTTTTTTTCCTCGTTGTTCCGGCTAGTCTGATAGTGTTTTGTCTAGGACTGCTAGCGGTTTTTGTTTCATCACACTATTTTGATTTTCAATTTTTATTATTACCATAATTATTGTCCTTCCACTTATTTGTTGTCTCTTACAGTGCTGATATTATTTGTCTGGTTTCTGCTGTTGTTATAGATCTTCTCTCGGAAACAGCCTCTCTACCCTCCGGGGTAGGGGTAAGGTCTGCGTACACTCTACCCTCCTAGATCCCACTAGTGAGATTATTACTGGGTTTTTGTTGCTGTTGTATTTGTTTCTTTTCCCTATCTTTATTATTTTTTGAGGGCATAATAACATTTTCACTATATGGGGGTAGAAATTCTACCATAGAATGTTTGTAAATCTTGACATATTTCTGTTGATAATTGTTCCTTAGGCCAATTTAAGGTGTTGGGTATTGTGGCATTTCTGGTACTGTTTGCTTTAAATTCATATTCTGAGAGCCTTCTATTTCTCTTAACAGAAAGTTCCATATCAGTTCTCAATGGAACACCTCCCAAACTGCAGAACGGAGATCGTGCTTCGTAACTTGAAAGGAGACTGTTGGACTGTAAATTCAATTCCGACTATGAAGGTACAAACGCTGCACACATTTTGTGGAGGATGGTCGGCATTTGTCAGAGATAATGACATCCAGATGGGAGATATCTGCATATTTGAGCTAGTTGGGAAATATGAAATGCGTGTACATATATGTGCAATTGGGAAGAAGGGGTTAGATTACCGAAACGGGATAACTTCTAATGAATCGGCTATTCGATGTAACACGCAAAAGAATGCATAATACAAGGTGAGGGTTAAACTCTCTTTAATTCTAATAAGTATGGTTCCATTGCATTTGGTAGAGAAGTATCAATAGTTATTCATAAGGTTGCACTTTGGCTACTAGAAGCTTTCAAAATCAGTACACCTTGCTGTTCCGCCACATTTTTTTCCAAAACATTGAGAGAGTAGTCATATGAGTGTCACATGCCTTTTTACAGTTTTGTTCTTTTCAAATTGGAAGAGTCCCAAAACACTGTTGCTGTATTTTTGAAAGCCTATGTTGCCAAACTCTGTTTTCTATCAACCCACGGACGTTTCTGAACTCTTTTTATCAACCTACGGATGTTTCTGTTCAATTCCATCTCCAGGTGCCTAATTACTCTTAGTTTCAGGCCTGGCTTTTTGCTAGAAGTGGATGCATTGGATTAGAAAAGGAATACACGCAAATGTTATGGAGAAGCTTAAAGTAAATCATCTAACATTTGACCAGGTTGGACAGTGCATCAGTCGCTTAGATGTTTTGTTCTAGGTGTTTTCTAAGCACTCATGTTCGGACTTTGTGTTAGTTTAAATACTGTGCGAAAAGCTTCTCATTTTCTTGGTGTCATAGATTTCCCTTTGTAAATAATTCATGTGTCAGTAAGTTAATTGCCAGGAAACTCTGCTGTTGTCTGTATATGTAAAAACAGAAATTGGGACATCTAGAATGAGAAATTGAAGTTTCGCTCAGCTGAAATGAGTTCGAAGTAGCACCAACTTTGTCACTTTAGATTCATTTAAACTGTTACATTATCACTCTCATATATGTGCTGTCTTGGGCTCACGAGCTTCTGGATTGATCTGAAAGTTGCAGCTTATGAATTCTGCCTTCCACTGGTATTCTCATGGCCAGCGGCCTATACCCCCTATACAGCTCAAGTGTCCCTTTTTCCTTGTTATTGTTTGTAATAGCGGTATTCCTTTCCTCTGTTTCCTCTTCATATTAGTAATCAATACTGCGAACTCGATCATCTTTCTCCCTTTGGCTTTGAATCCTATACTAGACTTTCTTTTATACTGTATGTAACACAAATGTAGTTGTAATATGTGTTTTTAATAAACCAACTTTTCTTCTTCTGTCATTTTTTCTTCCTTTTGAAATATACCAAAATATGAAGAAAGTTCATATAGCTAATATATTCTGTTTGGCGGGAATCTCCCGGTGCTTTCTTTGATCTGGAATAAAAATGATCGAAATGCAGGTTAAAATTGGGAGGATTTGGATTATAAGCAATTAAGCATTACGTATCATAACGATTTCAATGTTGTACAAACTGTAACATATAGTTTTGAGGAGGATTTTTATTATAAAGCATACATGGTAAAAATTAGGGAAGATTTTTATGTTAAAGGCATAAGTATCATAATTTTATGAATGTTGCAAGAAATTGTAACATTAAGTTTGAGGATTAAAAATTCCTCCGTTAGATCCGACTCCTCTTCTGATCTTGACACACATAAAATTCTATTTTTGCAGACATAACACATCTCAACTTATGTTTGAGGTCCATCACTTGGGAGCTGGAATAATATAGAAACCAGATTGTTCTAACCATTAATGTAGTTGCTCATTGTCATACATTTAGGATGCTACCAAGACAAGTGAATTAAACATGCTAAAAATTGATATTAATATAAATATAACTTCGATATATGAACGACAAAACCATATTGCATAAACGTAATGGGAAATATATTAACATTCGGAAGAAAACTAGGAACAAGTACGAACTAGAAGAATGTTAAAGACTACTTCAATTAGCTAGTAACCATTCCATGCTCTACTTGGCATAGGTGTTCTCATTCCCTCATGAATAGGTGTTGCAGAAGAATCTCTTGTTGGAGTCAGCAATGGACGCATTGGAGTTCTTGCACAATACATAGGAGTCTCACCCCCTAAACCAGAGCCAGAATTGTTCACTTCTACATTCACGTTCTCACAAATTTGATTGCGATTAACATAAATAGAGTTCATTTGAGCCTCCAATTCTACCCCAACTTTACTCCCTCTAACCTCTACAACGGTTCCAACCATCCCATGATAAGGTCCTTGACGGATCTTAATTCGAGCATTCACCAATGGGTAGCGCCTTACTCTTCCAAATCCATGTCCTTTTTTAGGAGGTGGAGGTCTGAAATTGGCTATTTATCCTGATCTTACATCCTCATTTCTACTTTTGTTGTTATAAGTTTTACTAGCTAGGCATACTGATTCTTCACAATATGCAACCTCAGAGACATTATCCTCAAGTAGTTTGGTCAATTCTTTGCTCTTGAATTCAAGACAACTTTGAGGCAGATCTCCATTTGTTGGTTTGATATAAACAATATCATCCTCAACTTTCAAAACCCATCCTTTTATATTTCTTCATACTTGATCTTCTCTTTCATCCTCAACTTTCTGCATTAATGTTGTTGTCATCTACTCTCTCCTTGGCTGCATGAAATATTTCAAAATCATCAAGTTGGCTGAATCTTATTACTGATTGACTTAAATGACACTAATTTATACAAAAAACCATCTTTGAATTTCTTGCCATCCACAATATCAAAATAATCCCCAGTAATTCTATCCCTCGAACGCTTCACTGAAATGCCCAATGCTTTAGCTTTACTAGCACTCCAAAATCTTGGTTGAGGACAAATTTTATTTGTTGAAACTTCCTTTGGTTTACAATTACCTTCATATTTGTTAACCAAATCCTGATTATCAATTCTTGGAATCAATTTTACAGTAACCCTTCGGTGGATATCATCTACGTCCACAATCTGAGCAATGTCTCCTTTGTAATTCCCAGTTTTTAATCTGACCAAAGAATCCTTAGTAAATTCTCTATCTCGGCTTTTGACACATAGCACCACTCCGAATTTGGAACCAATACAATCTTATTATTTTTCAGGAAAATATGTCTCATCCCTTTACATGCTTCCCTAACATGAGATTCTTTATCTGCTTCGACATATATATAATTCTGAAGATGATCAAGTGCTATAACTGATTTAATTTTCAAGTTAAAAGCTTTGTCAATTTGCTTCTGCATTAAGCATATTGCTACTTCCTTCTCATAACCAACTGCGCATTTAACCATCCATAACTTAGAGTCCTTAATTGTAGGCAAAAGCGCTTGTTGAAATACCTCTGTTTCATCTTCCTCGTATTTATATCTCAATTTTCTGCCATACCTTTCTTCAATTCTCCTTTCAAATTCGTCAATATCTTCGTCTTCGTCTTCTTCTCCAATTTGTGGACGAACAACCTGACGTTTTCGAAAAACAATATCTTCTCTTTCATTGGAATCGGAGTCGACTGTTGAAATTGTCAAAAGTCACACATTGGTGGATGACAATTTTGAATGAGAATTTCACCATATAAAAGGAGGCCTAATATTTAGGATTTAAACACACCTCTCATTTGCCTTTTTTATCTTCTTAAGGCATTTGTATCTTTTCTCTTTAGTATTATTTTATTTGTAATTTTGGAGTGGAATAAAATATTGATTGTGTCCGAGTAAGTAGGCAAAATTGGCCGAA